GAGCGAAGGGGGACGGGTGACAGCTCGGAGGGGGGCGGACGACCCTCCGAGATGTTTGCTGCACGCTTGCCGAGTTGCAGAGTGTCTTTTATTCACAGGGGCTGTGTGCAGCGGGGTAGGTGGGGGAGCAGGGGTCTTGGTGGGGTGAGGGGGGGCTTGGTAAGACGTGGGGGGGGGGGGGGGTGGTAAGACAGCTGCTCTCTAGCTCTGTGAGCCCAGGGCCACGGAGAGGGAAACTTGAGCGCCGGGAGGCGGGCCAGGAGGGTCCGTCCGAGAGGGGGGGAAAATAAACAAGGGGAAATAATTAAAGAGAAGAAGGTGAAAAGTTAAACCGACAGGGCCGGGTGTCCGCGCACGCCCTGGGGAGTTTTCCAGGAAAGTCGCAAAGATCAACGCGGACGCCAATTAGAAGGGGGGGGGGGGGGGGGGAGATGTGTTGCGTCGCATTCATTCATTAACAAGGGAGCCGCGGTGTCGAAGAGGTGTTGACTACCTCGCCTGGTGTACAGGAGGTCGTGGGTTCGAGCCCAACCCTGACGATCCCTGCTGTGTGTTTGGAGTTTGCATGTTTCTCTCTCTCTCATCATTGTCATCACCACGGTGGCTAGGAGGTGTTGACTACCTCACCTGGTGTACAGGAGGTCGTGGGTTCGAGCCCAACCCTGACGATCCCTGCTGTGTGTTTGGAGTTTGCATGTTTCTCTCTCTCTCATCATTGTCATCACCACGGTGGCTAGGAGGTGTTGACTACCTCGCCTGGTATACAGGAGGTCGTGGGTTCGATCCCCGACCCTGACGATGCCTGCTGTATATTTGGAGTTTGCGCGTCTCTCTCTCCCCGTGGTCGCTTGGATTTTTCTCCGGGCCCTCCGGTTTTACTCTCCACATTTAGAGTAGTTCGGCTGCTATACATTTCCACGCGATAAGCCACTTCGTTGAGCTATAATTTGTGATAGCCAGGGCGCTTCTGAAAAAGAGTTACATAGCTCAGTGGGCCTTACCTCGTTAAAATAAAAATAGTCAATTTAACTGTGGAATCGCTGCAGTACTTTGTTTCTCCACTGCTGGATGAAGGCCTCCCAGGTCACTCTTGCGCATGAGACTGTCCCCGCTCTCTTTGAGTTTTCTCCCCATTAAACAAAATAGACTTCATGCTCGATTGCAGTGCCGGTCATTTGACCATACTTCAACAGGCTGCTCAGTCTCTGCGTTTACCCGCTCCCGCCCGGGGGAGGGAGGAGGATGCATGTGAAGTAATTTACACTGGCCCGGGTGTTTAATCCACACGCTGATGACTCCGCGTACCCAGCAAGGGGCCTTACGATGCACGGCTTTTGCCAATTGATATCGATTCACTGAGCTCACGGATCATGGATCGGATTGCGCGAGTGAGCACCGGTGTTTGTCGATTCGTACGGAGCGGTGGCGCAGTGGTCAGCGTGCCATGCCATGACTGCGGCGGCTGCCCGAGTTCGATCCCCGACCACGGCCGACGTCGGTGGCGAGTGATATTTGAACTGGGCCTACACATCCCCCACGCTCCAATCAACTTCACCAACCCGCATGGTCAATACAACTCCCGTGATCGACGTGGCGATGGGAGGCGTTCATCCGGTGGCGTGAAACAGGGCTGTAAATAATTTTTATTGATTTCTATGTTGTGGACATAATTGGTTTGCGTGAGGCCTGCAGCCACTAGAGGAGCGACCATTCGCTGTGCGGTGCAAGGCCCCCCCCCCTCCCCGGCGGTGGCGCCATCTCATCGTGTGCCACGACAGCCGGCAGCAGAGATCGCACAAATCCACCGTTGTACTGCACTTCTATTCCTCCCCACATCTACGCTTCCCTGCCTCCACAGCATCCCACAGTGACCAGCGTGGTGAAGTATGGTTCATCACGGGACCTCCCTAGCCAGCCGGACAGACAAAATGCGATTCGCTTTTTCGCGTCCTCTGGTTCTAACACTGTGTGAGACTAGGCTCTAATGAAAGCCGTCTCTGGTGTGGACCAAACAGTTTCAAAGACAATGCATCATCATATACTACCAGAGCATGTTTTTTTTGTGTTTGCATGTTCACCACAAGTACGTGTGGTTAATACAGACATGATTCCTTGGAAAACGGTTTCTGTTTGGCGTTTTAACATCTTAACACAACTGTTGTATTGCCAGAAAGGGTAAAACCCATTCTTACATGGTCAACTAACCTCCCACACGGCATCAGAACGCTCTCATCCAGCAGCGAATTGACAGAGGACATGCGCGAAATATTCCACAGCCAAGGTAACTCCTGTACCGGGGGGCGCTTAGCCTCAGCTCCCTCCATAGGAACGTGGAATTTCCGCCAGCGGCCAACAGAATCGAGCGCTGACCGACGCTCGCTCGCGTGGTGTACAGGAGTCGTCGCCACTCGACGCCGAGGCGGCTCATTGACGCGGCGAGCCGTGGAGCGTCGCGCGGTGGATCGGTGCTCGCGAATCGACACGGAGGGGGGGGGGGGGCAGGGGGGTGGTGTGTGGGGGGGTCGGGCAGCAGCGGCACGCCAGGGACGGGGGCAGACTACGCGAGCCACCCACTCCCCGGGTTGGGGACATCCGAGCCGGAATACTGCGCGCAGCTCTGGGCTCTCTCTCTCTCTCCCGGAATCGGAAGCCGCGGGGTTTGTGTCGCTCTGTGGACGCCGTGGTCTCGGTGTTTGTTTTTGTAGAGCATCGTCGCTGGCCGGCCTGACTCACCGATGTACAATGTTGTGGTGTTCTAGATGGGCTACAAAGCTGAAAATTAGAGAATGGCCAGGCAGACCAGTCACTGATAATGATGGGGTCTCAGGAGAGCAGACTGTCAGAACCTCGATCTGATGGGATGTTGTAGATAACAGATCTGTGATGGAATGTCTAGTCAACAATAATGATCATGGACTGACAGACAGGTCGGTAGGTCTCTCCGCAGCAACATTACCTTCACAAATAAGCAGATCACACATTACAGCACCGGTGAGAGAGAGAGAGGGAGAGCGAGCGAGCGAGGGGAGAGAAATCCCAGCTCAAGGAAAGCGAGAGCGGACACGTGCGCACATCCGCTCGTCCGCTGCCAATTCCGATGCATTATTTATCCCGCGAAGCTGATACTGGCCGGGCAGCAGCTGTCTCACACACCCTCTGCCTGTGCGAGTCTGTACGCACGTACGCACGAACACACCTAAGTACACACGTACTGACGTGTGTGTGTGTGTCGCCGCATCGTCTGTCCGGAGCTATGCACTTTCAAATCTAGATTGAAAACGCATTTCTTTGAAACTGACTTTTGTGTTTAAGTTTGTTGTCCTTCACCCGCACCTCCGATTGGCACGTCGGCAACGTACGGTGCGAATTGAAGTTCAACATACACGCACCCACACTTCGTCGAGCTATCATTAGTGGCCACTGTCGCTTTTGAAAAAAGATCTGCACAGCTCAGTGGGCCTTACCTGGTTCAAGTAAAAATAGCTCATAGTTGTTAGGGCCACACGGGACAGGGTCACGCGTGTGACGAATCGCTGCCCCCCCCCCCCCCGCCGCCACCGTGCGCATGCGCCCGTAACGCGAGCCGCGCACCGGAGCACCGCGTACCGGCGACGACTTCCGAGCGACCCCATCGTCCGTGTCCCCAAGTGCCCCCAAGCGGCTGTTTCGGAAGCTCGGCAGGATGTGTGTTTTTTAAATCCTTTATATTAAGTTCGCTTGCGTGCTTGCGTGCTTGCGTGCTTGCTTGCTTACGACCTGTGCAAATCTTTCGGTCGTTTTTTAACCCACTTCCCGTGATCCAATCGAGCTGACATTTTCCACACAGACTCGTTGTGCGTGACAATTAATTTTCGTGAAATTTTTTTTCAAATTTTTTACACTGTTTAGGGAATTTTTTTAAAATATTTAATTACCAATTGCTTAATGCTGGCAGACAATCATCTGACCCATAGGTGGCAGCCATCTCAAGCCAGAGGACGAGAGGACTCTAGCCGCCACGCATATAAAGGATTTAGAGTGAAAAACTTTGTTTTTACGGGTTAATTTTTTTTTTTCACACCAAACGTCCATTGTCGAGCAATGTAATCCCGCGTAGAGGGGTCCACGGCACGGGTGACAGCGCGCTTGCTTGACCGCTCGCGCTACTCGCCTGACCAACGGGAGAGAGGTCATCCGCTGCCTCCGTGTGTCTGGAATGGCCCTCTCACCCCTCCTGGCCATCCACGCTGTTGGCTCCCTGGCTCTGGCCAAGGCCGGATCAGGGCGACCCTCCCCCTCTCCTCTGCCTGTGGCTGACCGGGGCACCACGGTGGCGGGATGATAACCCCCTCGCCTGCTATACAGGAGGTTGTGGGTTCTATCCCGACGCTGACGCCTGCTGTATATTTGGAATTTGCACGTTCTCCCCGTGGTCGCGTGGATTTTTCTCCGGGTTCTCTGGTTTTTCCCTCCACATTTATAAATAATAACTTCGTTAAGCTATCATTTGTGGCCAGGTTGCTTCTGAAATAGAGCTATATAGCCCAGTGGGCCTTACCTGGTAAAGTAAAAATGCTAAAATATGTTTTTGCAATTGCATTCGACATACACTGTACCCTTGTCCGTTAACATATTAGTACAATTGCCACGCTGTAACTGTTTAATGTTTCTGTTACTTAGCTGTAATCGTGCTCTGATCAGACTATAAATAATCTGCCTGAGCCGACTTGTGCTTCGGGGAATTCATTACACTCAATGTTTTCGATTTCTCACTTTTGACGCAGCTGTTTTTGCGCAGATTTCTATTTGCTTCATCATCCTGCTTAATCTAGCCCACGCACACACCCACCCACTCACCCACACACCCACACACCCACCCAGCTTCCCACCCACCCACTCACCCACTCACCCACTGACCCAGCTAACCACCCACCCACTCACCCACACACCCACTGACCGAGCTACCCACTCACCGACGCACCCACCCGCCCGCCCGCCCGCGCACGCACGCACTCACTCACCAGCCGCTCCATCTCCTGCTCGCGCAGCCGCTCCTCGCGCTGGCGCCGGTGGTAGTCCATCAGCTCTCCCTCGTCCGCACCGATCTCCGAGATGCTGTTTTTGCGCGGGCGGAACCCCCCTCCCATCAGCGGCGACAGCGCCGGCGCGACGCCCGGGGAGGAGGCGGCGGCGGCCCTAGGCGAGCGCCCGCGACACTCCCTGCCCACCCAGCGAGCTCGTCCTCTGCCGCGGCTGCGGCGCCGCCGGCGCGTACGCCTGCGCCGGGCTCGGGCTCCTGCCGGCGCCCGCCCGGGGCTGAGGCCTCGGCCTGGGAGGGAGGGCGCCCAGGACGGACGGCGACGGCGGAGGCTCGGGGTCGTAGGGGCGGCCGCGGCGGGCGTCGGAGGGCGAGCCGGGGGAGGGGCTCCGCTCGAACGCGCCCGCCTGCTGGGCCCGGCGGGAGAGCAGCGGGCTGTCGAGGCCGCCGCCGCCGCCGGCGCGGCCCGTCCGCTTGTGGTAGTGGTGTCCCGACGGCGGCGCCGTGACGTCCGGCGGGTAGGCGGCGGAGGAAGGCAGCCAGTTGAGCGCGGGCGTCGACTGCGTGGGCTTGAGCGGCGAGTGGTAGGCGAGGGCGCGGCGGGCGGACGAGGGGCTCGCCGGCGGAGGCTCCCTCGTGCCGCGGCAGTTGTCGGCCGTCCGGCCCGGCCCCGCGGGCGAGCGGCGGCCGCCGTAGCTCGCGAGCGCGTGCCCGTCCCCGAAGTCGCTCATGGCGATGCCGTAGCGCGCCAGCACGCTCGCGTCCTGCAGGTACTGCTCGCGCCACTGGTTCTGGGAGTACTCCTGCAGGGCCCTGGACCTCTGGCCCGGCGTCGGAGGCTGCTGCTGCTGCTGGTGCTGGAATTTGGAAGGCAGGCGAGGGCTGGAGGGGACGCTCGAAGATTGGCGGCACGGCCCGACGGGGCTGAAGCGACTCACGTCGACGCTGGAGGAGCCCAGCGGGCCGCCGCGGAGTGACGCCAGGTCGAAGTCGCCGCCCGCACCGGCGAGCAGGCGGTGGTCCCAGGCACGCCGGCCACCGCCGTCCGACGAGGGGTAGCCCTCCCACGCTTCCCGACGGCCGTCGCGGTCGCCCGGTGAGAGGACGTCCCACGGCTCTTGGCGGCCGCGCTCGTACCTCCCGCCATCGTAAGAGGATGGCGGGAGGTACTGGGAACCTCCAGCCTCCTCCTCCTCCGGCGGCAGCCAAGCCGTACGCGTCCGAGTCGCGGCCGCTCTTGCTCCAGTAACCATCGGACGAGCCCCTGCCGCCCGCTCGGCCTCCGGCGCCCCTCGACCGCGACGCCTCCTCCTCCTCCTCGTCGTCGTCCCCGCACCCTGCGAGGGCCGAGGGAGTTCCGCTCGCGCCGTACGCCGCCGCCGCTGGCGGCGCGGCGACGCCGTGGGAGTAGCTCGACGACCGCGGGGCCGGCACGGGGACGGCGTCCGAGCGGCCATTGGAGCTGCCGGTCGCCGACGGCGACGAGAGCGGGGAGGCGGTCGAGAGCGGCGAGGCTGAGTTGTCGGGGTCCCCGCGGAAGCTGGAGGAGCCCACCGACATGTTGCCGGGGCTCGTGGGAGACGGCGTCGCGGCGGTCGTCGTGGCGACCGTCGCGAAGGAGGAGGAGGACGAGGAGGAGAAGCGCGAGTTGCCCGCGACGCCAGGAGTCGCGTCGGCAGGCGCCGACTTGGTCACGGGAGAGTTGGCGGCCGGCGAGTGCTTGCCCAGCGAGCCCATGTACAGCTTGAGGTTCGTCTGGTACTGCGCGTTGGAGGCGGTCGTTGGCCACCGGTGGACGGCAGGGGAGGGGCTCGAGTCGGCGCCGGACGATGGAGGGACGGTGGGAGGGCACACGAAGGAGCGGCCGGGCGAGGAGCTGGCTTTGGTACTCGCTAGGCCGCCGGGCAAGGTAGTCTGGCTCTTGGGCTTAGACTTGTGGTTGCCATTCATCATGTTGCTTAAATCTGCCGCGGCACAAGGAACACAAACAGGCATCTGTGGCGTTTACGACACCGTGGTGGTTTTAAAAGGCACGTGGCCGCTCGTGTTTTCCAACGTGCTTACACATGAGCGCGCATTGCGATTCTCATACGAGGATGGTGCAATTCTAATCGTTTTAATGCTCTTCTAATCCCGCACCTCCGATTAGCACGGTCGGCTACGTACGACGCGAAGGAAATGGAACACACACACGCACGCCCACGCCACTGTCCGTGGAAGGACCTCCAACAGGGAGAACTCTAGATGATAACTGTTCTACTCTTCCACGAGGTTGACTACCTCGCCTGGTATACAGGAGGTCGTGGGTTCGATCCCGACCCTGACGATGCCTGCTGTGTTTTTGAAGTTCGCGTGTCTCTCTCTCCCGTGGTCGCGTGGATTTTACTCCGGGTTCTCCGGTTTTTCCCTCCACATTTAGAATCGACGTCCGCGCGTTCGGAGTATGTGGCCGCTCCAAATGTCCACGTGATGACGAGCCACTTCGTTGAGCTATCATTTGTGGCCAGGTCTCTTCTGAAAAAATGGCTACATAGCTCAGTGGGCCTTACCTGTTAAAAAATAACCATGGATATGTAATAAGATGCTATTGTATCACGTGCAGTACCGCTAGACGTGTGTTCTTGATGATTTAGATACCGGCAGGCCGGTCTCCGCTCACCCTGTGCGACAGCGGGCTGCAGTCCACTACGCAGACGGATCGCCTGTGCCGGGTGGTTGAACCGGAAGAAGTTCGACTCCCCCAGGCACAGCATACACCCTGCGGGCACACATCGGGCACACAGAGCGGGGAGACGTGAGCACACACGGAGAACGGTGGGGGAAGAGGCCACACCTGGCGGTTGGGGAAAGAGAGCAAAGTTCGGTCATTGGCAGCGTGAGTCTGTCGCTAGCTCGACCTGTAACCCCGACCACACCAACTGAGAGAAGATCCCAGCCCCACCACTAACACCAACCACACCAGCTGAAAAGAGTCCAGACCCACCACTAACACCAACCACACCAACTCAGAGAAGATCACAGCCCCACCACTAACCCCCACGAGGTTGTGGGACCCCCCCACCCCCCCCCCCCCCCCCCACTGGTGCCCCCCAGCCCCCCACATTGTGGTACCACCCCTTCCACTGGAGATCAGGCTCTGGGGAAAGATCTTTCTTCTATAATCAGCTGCGTTTCTCTCCTGCTCTCACTTTGGCACCGACTTTAGTACCCTTTGTTGTTTTTGCGTGCGTGGTCGATGCCTTGAGACGTCGTGAAGGGCAACTCGTAGCGTAAGAGCGGCTTGCTATTATTAATGTAAACCAGCGTGTTCGCTCGTTCCTTTGTACGTCCGCGCGGATTTTTTGGCTTCCCTAGGCATGCACAAAGACAAAGATCCCCCGTATAGCCTTAACATACCGTTGGGGCAAGTGCCGTTAGCGAGCACATATGAAGGCCGGCACGGCACACGAGGGGGTGGGTGGCCAACACACCACGCCCGGCCACCTTTGTCTCCCTAGTGGCGATGTTTCCACACACCGCACCAGGTACTCAATTGAGGCTGAGTCGACCTAGGGGAGGCCCAGGATCGGTTCAGATAATCGTCACTGGGTGTTGGCCGTGAGCTTGGAATCGAACTCGGGTCGCCGGGTTCGTAGCGCAGCGTAGCGCTAACCGCTTCAATGCCTGGGGCCGTGCATGGGGGGAGGGGGGGGGGGCCTGGGGCCCGGGGAAAACTCCCACCGTGTGGGGGGACCTCCCTCCCCCCGGGAGGATTACGAAGACCCGGGCTGCCCCCCCCGCACCAAAAGCACGGGGCCCGGGGCAGTCGCCCCGACTCGCCGTGCGCCCGAGGAGACGGGCTTCGTCAATCTCCGTCAGCGATATGGTTTTAGTTTGCATCGGGCAGGCGACGGCCGTACGCATGTTGAACTTCTTTCGCACCGTACGCGACGAACCGCGCTAATCGGAGGTGAAGGACAACAAACAAAAACGATGGTTGAGCAAACACGAAGAAGGCCTCCCGTCGGATTTGTTTGGACACCGAGAGAATGACATAAATCCACAAAAGACAAAGATCCCCCGTGTAGCCTGAACAGACTGTCGGGGCAAGTGCTGTTAGCGAGCAGCACCTTAAAAGGCCGGCACGGCACACGAGGGGGTGGCCAACACACCACGCCTGGCCGCCTTTGTCTCCCCCCAGTGGCGATGTTTACACACCGCACCGGGTACTCATTTGAGGCTGAGTCGACCTAGGGGAGGCTCAGGACCGGTTCAAATAATTACACCACACACAGAGACACACTCCCGCAATGGATCTATGATACACGGGTCACCAAAAACAAACAATAGCCGCCACGCTATCCCAGCTCACGGCCTAATCCGACGCACAAATAAAATAATCACAATCATCATCGTCGTATTCCTCCGCACACCACCTGGGGTAAGGGGGGCGAAATCCCTTTCTAATAACAGCCTCCTCCTCTGCCGCCGCCGCCGTAGGAATTATTTTGCCCGTTGCCATGACGACGACCTTTAACAAAGGGAGCCCCCATCCGTGTGAAGCTTCTGAGTCATTTCCACTTGGCTGGGGGGCTGGGGGCTGGGGGGCTGGGGGCTGGGGAGCTGGGGGGCTGGGGGGCTGGGGGCTGGGGGGTGCCGGGTCCAGTGGGGAGGGGAGGGGGTTAGTGAGAGCCATACAATCAGTGAAGGAGGGAACACAATGGCCTGGTTTAGTGGGGATTCAAGGGCTGGTGCATGGTGTGTGTGTGATGGGGAGCGGTGGTGCAGCGGTTAGAGCGCGCCGAGCTCCGAACCCGGCGGCCCGAGTTCGATTCCCGCTCACGGCCACCAATACCGGTGACGATTGTCTGAACCGGTCCTGGGCCTCCCCTAGGTCGACTCAGCCTCAAATGAGTAACCCCTGGTGCGGTGTGTAAACATCGCCACTCGGGGAGACAAAGGCGGTCGGGCGCGGTGCTGGCCACCCACCCCCTCGTGCGCCGTGCCGGCCTTCATAGGTGCTACTCGCTAACGGCAATTGCTCCAACAGCCTTTTCAGGATACGAATAACAAAAGCCGCAAACACATTCACCAATGAAACTGTGGCCTTAAAAAAATAGGTGACATTTCAGGGTGTTCTTGGTTTTCTCTAGGTTGACGCAGCCTAAAATAAGCGCTTGGCTTATTGTGCAAATATCAGCACTGGGCAGTCAAGAGCGCATGGGGTATTGTAAGTATCCACGCCCCACCCTGCAGGTTGTAATCTGGTAATCCGGTGCTCGGCGAGGCAACGGGTTGGCGGATCGCAGCAGAGAACCGCGGTGCAGCCAAACCCACGAGGGAGATGGAGGCGCTGGCGGCGGCATTTCGTGGTGAATCCATCTCTGCGGCCCCTATTGAGAGCCGCCCACCCCTCGCATGCACGGGGTATCCCCTGAGCCCTCTGTTTTCCCTCCCTCCCACACGCAAGCGGGGAATTGGCCGACCATGCGAACGCACGGTTCGGCGCTGCCTACCCCGCTCGCCAGCGGCACGTGTGCACGTTGAACTTCTTTTGCACCGTACGTAGCCAACCGGGCTAAATCTGAGACGCGGGTGGGTAAGGACAACGAACCAAAGACAACAAAAAGGCCGTTCTAGAGGAACGAGTTTGTACATCTGGACGATGATTTAAAAGAACGTAGCTCCAGTGGGAGGAAGAGCGTTCCAGTGGGCCGCAGAAGCGCATCTGAAAGCGCACGATACGGCGATCGTCTTTTTGGTTCGATTGGCTAGCCAACAGCTGCCGCCATCACTGCTGCTGCTGCGAGGAATGACCAGAGTGTCGCGCGATGGTCTACGCTCCTTGACGACACCGGCGAGGTATCGTGGTTCATTCGTGGCGAGCACTTTCTGTGCCTCCCGCTCGCGCCTCTCTCCCTAAGAGGGCGAGCGAATGCCGTGCGGCGGTGGCGGCGCTGTAACACTCCAGTAACATCGGGCAGCGGTTAAAATCACTGATCAGCCGTCGGCCATATGTGGAAGAAAATAGGCGTGGAGCTGCCGGCATGTGGCCTTGTGGGCGATTGGTGATTTGGTCGCAGTCCCTTTTGATCGCATTTCGGCGCGTTATGAGTGGTAGATTATAATAATAATCTTTTAATTTTATATATACCAACAGCATCCCATAACGCTGTATGTTGATTATATATATGAGGACCATATCCCATATACGCGATTGGCTATGCACAGAGTGACAGAAGCCCAACACACCCACGCACACCAGGCAAATGAAAACTCTACTACGACAAGTAAAATAAAACATGGATTGACAAATGAAGAAATGGCACCAAAACAAGAAGCACAAACAAATCAAAACAATGATCATCATTGGAACCTCCTTTGCCAGTAGCAGTGCGCCTTTTGGCGTCATCTGGTCCAACACCATGTGAGACTACGCTCTAGGAAAAGCTGTCTCGGGTGTGGACCAATCAATTTCAAGGATAGTGCATACATTATCAGAGTTGTGTTTTTTGTTTGCATTCCTACCGCAGGTATTGTGGTCAATGCAAACATGACTCCTTGTAAAAAAGGTGTCAGTTTTGTTGCCAGATAAAAGGGTAAAAAAACAACAATGACATGTGTGTCTATGCGCGTGTCTGAGTGGGGAGCGGCAGTGTAACGGTTAGCGCGCTGCGCTACGAATCCGTCGACCCGAGTTCGATTTCCGCTCACGGCCACCAACACCCAGTGGCGATAATTATCTGTACCGGTCCTGGGCCTCCCCTAGGTCGACTCAGCCTCAAATGAGTACCCGGTGCGGTGTGTAAACATCGCGACTGGGGAGACAAAGGCGGTCGCGCATGGTGCTGGCCACCCACCCCCTCGTGTGCCGTGACGGCCTTCATAGGCGCTCGCTAACAGCACTTGACAGACAGTCTGTCACAGGCTACGCGGGGGGCGGGGGGGGTCTTTGTCTCCGTTCGTCTGAGTGGCGGCGAGCAGCAATTGGCGGCGTAGCTTCCAAGCGTTGCAGACAGCCCAAGAGCCCCCCCCCGCCCGGCCCAGTAAACACGGAACATCGGGCCCACGTTGGGGTTCAACGTTGGACGCTTCACTGGGCAGGAGCTTGGCTGAGGGCAGAGGAGGGGGGGGGTGCGCGGGCACATTCCATTCCTTGCAGCGGGGACCAATGCCAACCGCACCACATCGCCGGCGGTAATAACCAACAGCGGTGGCTTTCGGGCGCTTTTCCCAGAAACCCCCCGCGCCCTGCAGACTCTGCGGTCAGACAAAAAAGCGCGGCCCTGGCCACGTGCGTCAATTTGCCTGCCTGGAGAGCGCGAGAGAGCCGAGTCAGGGCAATCTCGCCACGTGGGTCAATTGCGGAATTGGCAGAGTGCGCGCGGCGCTAATGGTCACATTACCGGACGGCAGATTCGACGGAACGCCGGTCGCCACTTACGCCCAAGCAGCCCCCCACGGCTCGATTCCTGCCCGCACGCATTATCATCGCCGTCATCATCAGCAGCAGCAGCGGCGGCAGCGGTAGCGGCGGCGGTAGCAGGATTGGCGATCGAGCGCGGCGTGCGGACCTCCATCTCGGTGGACTCAGCCAGAAATCGATCGCTTGGTGCGGTGACGGTAGCGACGGTGGGCTTGCGTTGGTGCCGGCTACAAATCCAGGCCAACATTTGGGACGTGCCAGCCTTGAAATAGGCCCCGCCTAAAGGCATTTGGCATGGAATTAATATTTTATATTTTTTGCACAACTATTCCAATTGTTTGCCTCGCCCATTG